GGCAATGCATGTACTATCTGCTAAAGACCAGTAGCATTTCTAAAGCTGATTTTTAAGAACAAAATAGTTTTGGTTATATGTGGAGATGGATTGCTTTGTTCCAAAATCCTGAAAGTTTATACTGTGATTCACCTATGAAGACCTGCCAAATTTCCTTGAACTTGAGTAGTCAGAATGATATTATCAATTTGGTAAAAAACTGAGTGGAACATGTGATATTTTCTGGAATAGAGTGTTAATTAAGATTTTTACAGATTAGATTATTATAGGGGTCTAGAGTTGATACAGTTTTGAGGAAGGGCAGTGAAGTTACATTGCTGGCCCTGCCGGTGAAAGAAACTGTTCCAATGGTTTTTCACTAAAAGGATATAGAAGAAATAACTACATTCCTAATTGCCAGGAAGTTATTGATTTGTTTCAACAATGAAACTATATCCTTCACTACAGCTGCAATTGGAGTAACATATGATAATGCTGATAGTAATTCACTGTCATTCTCTAAGGTTCATCTGTATTCTTTGCAAGCCAGATAGGTTAGGTGAATGCTAACGTTAGAATCACCACATCTTTATTTTTCAAGTCTTTAAGAGAGGTGCCAATTTCTGCAATCTAAGAAAGTGACATTGTTTTTGATTTACTATTTTGATAGGTAAGAGTTCTAACTTCCACTTACGTTTTTTCTATTTGTTTTTCCTCTGTAGAGCTCTCATTTCATTCAAACTATGTATTCCAAACTGGAGAAATAACTGTAAGAAGGAAGGGTTCTGGTACTTACTGAGACCACTGAAAATAGACCTTTGCCAAAGGAAGGCCCATGGAAAGCTCTCTATGACTAGTTCACTCATGGGACATGAAGGAGGAATGGGTTTCGAGCAATTAATCGTGTGATTTCTGTAAGCACATACCCTACCTATTGAACCATTAGGTCTCCATGAATTACTGTCAGTTTAGATCTAATGTCCAGTTATTTCTGATAAGGGTGTTTAATTATCCTTCCTCAGTGAGTGGTCACCCTGATGAATGGTTTCTGATTCTTTGAAGAAGGCAAGGAGGAAGATTTACAGCATAATCTTTTGGCAGTATATTAGGATTCCTAAAGGACACTCATCCTCTTTATTCAAGGAGCCTGGGTCTATGAATTGCTCAAGTTTGAGAACTGGTTGAGGTCCAAGACCCTTTTTTTGTGTTGATTTAAGTCCTGTTTTTGGTAATAAGACCTACAGATTTTCTATACAAATCGGAAAATACTTAAGTAGAGTGCCTATTTATTTTAGTCCTAGGGATATTCTGATCAGTCAGCCAATACTAACTCTCCCCAAGGGTAAAACCATTTTGTTTATGACTTTGAGTCTACTGCCCATAACTATTTTTCAAATTCATTTTGTCTTTGAAAGTTAAGTTCTATCATGATGCCTATGTTATCTGAAGTTCTATCATCCTTATTGAATTCAGGGAACCCAGCATGGCACCATTTCTCATTGTTATCCATGGCCTTCTGGCTACCTAGAGCTTATTAATCCACACAGAACTTGTCAAGGATGCTAATGTTCTTTTCACCAATTCACTTCTCAAACCTTGGTAAAGGATGTGTTTTTTTGACAGGAGACTGTGGGGCATAGTTAGGGAATGAATGAATAGGACTTACATAGTAAATACTCTGCTTTGTTAGGAAAGTTATCAATCATTTTCCTTTAAAACTCCGGAATGGGCACCCATGAAAATGAAGATAATGTAGGTTGAGTTTGAAAAATAAAAAAATCCAACAAATTGTTTATATTTAGTGCTTCAGAATGAGAAAGGCATTTTCTTAGTCATCAACATATTAAAAGTTTGGATTTACTCAGTTGACAATAAAACCCATTTGGCTGTTATTTTTTATGTTTTACACAATGATTAAAAACATTAAATGACAGGGTGTTTTAAATGAATTTGTTCTGAGGATGAATGTGACTACTTATTTTCTATATATTTTTATACGCTCTATTATTTCTTAGTAATTCTTCCCTTATGAAATCTCACAGGAGACTGAAACAGAATGATTGAGAAGGTGGTGGAGATAGAGTCACCTCATTCACTACAGCTTATTTATTGTTCTTATTGGAGATCTATAAGTTATCAAAGTTATAACATCAACACCAGCTTAAACAACAGTGGTTTGATTCATGTAAAATTATTTGGTTTTTGAGATTGTTTAAAAATAAACATTTAAGTGGAGGGCTTCTATCCCACTCTGTCTGTGGGCTATTAATCCAAAGAAAAGGTTTACCTTGGAATACCCGGTGTTGAAACATACTTAAAAGTGAGAGGGAGAGGCCGAAGCAGCCAGTGATGATATGAAGGTATTAAGTGTACACATACATAGAGATACATGTTACGGGAAGAAAGGCAGAGAAATTCAGGAGATTTTGAGTTGGTGTTAATTGAAGTCTAAATATAAGTGTTCCTGACATTTCATTTGGACTTTGACCTTTGAAAAATCATCTTATGACCACTCTTCAATTTTGTTTATTTCTATGTTGTATGTGTCTGTGTATGTATGTATATATGTATGTATGTATTTTACTACTCTTTATTTGTGAATTTTTACACCTTCCTCTGACAGGATAACTTTAGTATCTATTGTTTTTTTTTGGATTGTAGATTGGAATACTATTAGGTAAAATTAAATTAGTAAATAAAGTCTTAGGTCTTCAGTTACCCTTTGTAACATTTGTCACGTTAAGGAACCAGTAAGTATTTCTTTTTGTAATGGATGTAGGTAGGATATACTTCTGGACTTTACTGTGTGTGTGTGTGTATATATATATATATATATATATATATATATATATATATATGTTCAGGCGAAGACACTTTATTTCATGCAGAATATAAGACTGTATGTGGGTCAGCAAGGACAGGATATTTTGTCCCCTTATCCCTCAACATATTAAGATGATTTTATTCTTCTGAATTTCTAAGAGGAAGTTTTTCTTCCTTATTGTAAAACCAGCAGATTTCCCGAGTGTCCTTGAATGATTTATTCATGGCCTACTTGTATAGTAGCAAAAGAAAAGAATTATACATAACATTTTTTTATCTTGTGCAAGAGAGCAATTTTTAAAATATATATTTGGAAGACCTTTAATAAAATTTTTAATGAGTTGTCTGTCTTTTTAACTCATAGTCATTACAAAGAGTACTGTCTCCTTCGTTATCATGGTTCAGAGCAGTCTCTCCCCCTCCCCAACTGAGATATGTGTTCTTTGCAGTACTTTTGGTTTTTAAGTTAAATATTCTCCTTCTGTTTGAGAAAGTCTAAATGATACCACACTAAAGGTAGTGATTCAATTATATCTTCTTGAATGTAATATATTTATTAATAATATATTTCCAAGATTAAAACAGTAAATATCACCAATACTCAGATGAATAGTCTATGATAATCCAAGACTTTTCCCCCCTTTTCTTTCTTTTCCTTCTTTTTACTTTATAACTACCTTCTTCTCCATCTCTCCAGTTCTAGCAATTGGATAAAGAATCAATGAATGATCTCATGTAATTATTTATTAACTATCCCTCCTTTTTTTAATTTTAATTTTTTTTTAATTTTTAAAAAATATTTCTTTTTTTTTTTTAAAAAAGATTTATTTATTTATACAAGCACTGGGTACAGTCAGAAGCACGGGAGGGTGAGAGAATTCACCAGAGCCAGAGCGGGGAATAGAACAGGCAGACCGACGAAATGCACTGCTGAGGGAAGCAGCGGGCACGGCAGGAGAGGTCTGCCTCGCCATGTGGGACCCTCGCCGGCAGCCTGGGATCTAGCTGGCGCTGCAGAAACTGCCGGCAGCTTCGCAGCCCAGTGCTCAACCACTGCGCCACCAGGGGAGGCCCATCCCCTCCTTTTTTATATCGTAAATTCAGTGAGGACACAGGTCATTTGACTACTTTACATGCCTCATTTGTGGAATTATATTATTTGTCTTTTAGTGATTAGTTTATTTCAGTTAGCATAATGCTGTTCACCTCCATGTGCCTAATGCTTTGATTAGTAATAGGTATTCAGTAAATTAGTTGACTGAATCAATGAACAATAAAACATTGTAAGTTTTTTTAAAATTTTGTTGAAAATATCTTTCCTCTCTACATTAATATTTACATTGTAAAATATGATGGGGAGAAATTATAACAATAAAATAAAATATTTTTAATAAGAATACTGTAAAATTGCTACCTAATTTGTAATAGTGAAAGGAAGAGTAGTACAGTAAGCAATCAATTTAAGGTGACTTTACAAACTAAAGTTTTGATTATTTTGTATTAATAGTTTGAACTACATTTGCCCATGTGACCTTGATTTACTCAACTAATTTATGGCCCAACTAAATTAAAATAGTTTGAGGGCATAATATGGAAATGTTCATATTTTTATAGTGAGTATCAGTTTTAAAGATTTTAATTGAAACATGATGTGGGCCCATGTAGATAATAGCATTTTTATTATTTATTTCAAATAGTAACTTGAGAATTTTAAGGGTAGAAGAATATTTCCAAGCAAAACAGAAAATGATGTACTCTTAGGTTAAGAAATTAATATTTAAACAAAACAGACCTGACTGATTAGAACCACAAGGACCAAAGTAAATGTACCTATGTCCTCACAGCTATGTTAATATAGACTGTTCACTTACTTGTTGGCTAGCAGGTGTGTACAAATACTTAGGAGATGGGGAAAAAAGAAAAGAGCTCATTACTACCTACAATCTGGGCCTTGTTTAAGTTACAAAATAGTCACAAATCTAAAACCTGTCTCTATATTATGAACTTAATTTGACCACTTGTTTAAAAGGCTATTGATACTTGGCTATACAGCAGTATACTTTGGAGAATAAAAATGTGCTGGATGTTTCGTAATGTCTGTTCAGCTCTATCTAATTGTAATAGCTATGTTAGTGTTTGCTTAGCTTTTGTCTCTTTGTGACTCTAAGGGTATATTTTCATTCTATATTTTTCTTGAGGCATCCACAAGGACAAAGATAAACCTCCCAGCTTCTCTGTTGTCCTTGAGACTTTGAGGCGTACCTTGACAGATTACCAGAACAAGCTGGAAGATGCATCTAATGAGGTAACACTTGCACTGTTTGGCTCCACACATATAGCCTTCGGCCAGCAGCAGTACGTATCCCTTGCTTGTTACAAAGGTCAAAAAGATTGGGAGTGTTGACAGCTTCACAGATACTAAAAATAATAAATTGTCACTGTTTTTTCTTTAAGTGTCGCCTAAAGTTGTGTCTCACTTACGTTTTTGTAACTTCAGTCAACTATATTTTTCAAACTTATGAAGACTCTGTCACTTCTTGGTCTTCATTATTTAATCTATGCTTATGCAAGTCATGTAGTTAATGTGTTATATTTTAATGTTAATATATTTTTATGTTGAAATTTGTATATCTGCAATGGAAATTTAGATTTTTGTCAGTATTTGAAGAATTCTACAAATTGTGGGAGTCTTAATAAAAAAGAGAGAAGTTAGTTTCAATCTCTAAAGGGAGTAAAGTGTTGTTAGAAGTTTTTCAAAACAAGTATCTGTTTGATGTAACCCAGAAGTTTTTAGTTTGCTGACTGAAAAAGCTCGTGTTTTTATTTATAATCTCATTTGTATTAAATGAGTGGGTTGATAATTTCCTTGGATATTAAAATATTTTGTGAATTTCTACTTTAAAAATTGAAGAGCTTCTTTAGTTACATCTTGTTAAGTTAGAGAATTTGAAATAATTACATTAAATACAATGAGTTAGCACAAGAAAAAATAGATTATTTGAACCAAAGATAAGCCATGTAGCATGGAATATAGTGTTTCTCCTGTTTATCTGTTTTTTTTTCACATAGTGCAAAAGTCTTGAAACCATTATATTTCACTTTCAGAAACTATTATATTTCATATTATTTTACTTTAGTTTACTAAGGTGAACAAAGAAGGACCAGTGAGTCTTATTAATACCCTCTGTCTTGTTCAAAAGGCCTAAAAGAGAGTGACTATTGAAATAATCAAATTTCTATAAAGAACAAATATTGCTAAGTTTTTCCCAGGGAGACAGATAACCTATATTGTTAGTAGTTTATGAAACTCTTCTGAGGCCTAGGACTGGAAGCTGCAGGGTAACTAGGAACATATTACCCACAGCGAATTGTTATTTGGGAGGATGAATGTCACATGATCCTCAGCACAGTTGAAAAGTCGACTCAGCAGGCTTTGGCTTAGTAATGCGCTTTGTTGTGAACCAGTGCCAGAGACAGCAGTGGGGAGACCAAGGGGGTGGCTGCAAAGAAAGCAGAAAGAGCAGTCTGACAGAAAGAAGAATGAACTGTCAAAGAAAATAAATCACAAGCAGAGCAGGACCAACTGATGACCTGCCACAAGCCTTCCCAGTAGGACTGCATGTGACCGACCCTGAAGTTGTCATATGGAGTGAGAGACCAGTGAATACCCTCATGATGTATAGAAAGAACAGTCTTCTGCTCTGTCCTTTTTTCTTTCCTTCTAGATGCCACTGCTTCTGGCATTTTGGTCCAGTAGGATTTTAAGAATAAAGTTACATTTGTTTACAGTAAGAATGAAATGCTTTATCCAGACAACTAGTAGAAATATACTAACATTCCTGACATTTTAAGCTTGAATGCTTCTTTTTCTTTTTAGCCATGTGAGTTTGTGACAAATTACATAGTTAACTAAGAGAAATATTTTTTAGGACTCTTAATTACTATTGAAAAATTTATATCACGTGATTGCATAAAAATATTTAAAGATTAGTTCTGAGTTACCCATCCTTGAAAAATATTAAAAAATTACTTATATTTTCTTTCATCAGCTAAACAACATGAATGATGCTAAGGAAAAGGCGTCTAATGAACTTAATTCTACCAAGCAGAAGATAGAATTGCAAACTAAAAATATAAAGGTATTATGATTTCGAATAAGTTTTTCCTTTTGTATTAAGAAACAAATATTTTAAGGGGAGATGTCAGAAAACATATCTTCCTATTTTTTAAAGAGATGTTTGGATGCAATTTTAATTTTTTATTGTTGATCAAGGTAACGAGAATTTTTTTCATTAAAAAATGATTAGAAATTGTCTTGGTAAAAGAAAAACTTTGTTTCCCAGATTTAATTATAATATCATAGGTCCAAAAAGTTATTTAAGATGTAATGGCCATCCTCAGACACATTGAACATATTTTATATCAGCATACGAGGATCTGGAGTTAGTTTTCCTCAGTTTAGGGTGGAGCCATTGTTTTAGTATATCTTGCCTACAAATGAATGGGCTGAGACCACACCTGGAGAAAGTCCAGGACAATAGTTTATTTTACTTTTTTGCTCTGGTTTTATGTATTATATTTTTGCAAAGTTATACAGAGGCAGTTCTCAGAGTTACCTCAATATTGTTGGAATTTTTCTGTCTTGGTTCATGTTGAGTTTGTCATGGGCACACTTCAATGGAACTTGTTAAGGTTAAGGAATAAATATTTCAGCAGAATTTTATGCTATGTATTTGAGATTTGAATTAGTGTTTGGAATGTCGCTGGGAAGTAAATGTCCTTAGGTTAAATGTAAGAAATTTATTTTTTAAATGTTATTTAATATTTTTGAACTACCAAGTTATTTTTTAATAGTGGGTTGAAAGGCAAATTTCCCTATCAAAGAGGTTTTTGGAATAAGCTATCTTTTAAAATTTTTATGGTTAAATATTAAAACATAACAGATTTTCTAACTTTTGAGCTAAAATATACTTAGAAAATATATTCAATAAAAACACTTTAATGAGGAGCATTATAATCAAATGCTTGCTTGCCTTTGTGATTCTTTTATGTTAACGCTTTGAAAGTCTTCATTATGTATTTTATATTTGTATACTCTTTGATTAACTGGTCTTGATACAATCTCTATTTGGTATCTCTGACAGGACCTTCAGGATAAACTGACTGATGTCAATAAAGAGTTAAGTCATTTACGCACTAAAATTGCAGACAGAGAGGCTCTAATAAGCACTTTAAAAGTGGAACTACAAAATGTGCTGCATTGTTGGGAGAAAGAAAAGGCACGAGCAGCCCAATTTGAAAGTGAGCTGCAGAAGCTTTCCCAGGCTTTCCATAAGGATACGGAGGTATTACCTGAAACAAGATGACTGTCAGGAAGAACAAACCTTTCACTAATCTCAGTTTTAGAAATTTACATACATCAAGTGGTTATTTTAAATTCTTATAAGATTTAATTAAAAATTGTTCTGAGCTGAATATTTTGTAATATTCATGATAGCTGCAGAAACATTTGTGCTATTACTTCAGTGTCATCCTTTTTGGTGAGAAAAAGTCATGTAATTTAACCCTTCTATCAATTGTTCAAGGGTTGCTTGTTTGCCAAAGATAAGATGACTTTTTATTTCAAGAGTTTAGTAACTTAGGATGGTAGAATTTTTGTTTTTTTAGTAATCAGAAAGAACTGGAGTTGGATCCTGGTTCTTGTATTTATAAACTGTGATAATAACAACCCATATAGCTTAGTCTTAGTTTCCTTATTTGCAAAATAGGAATACATCTGCTTTAACAGACACTCTTACTTGTTGTAATTATAGGGTAATACTCAAAATATAAAAAAATACAAGTCCCATAAAATTAAAACTTTATTTGGTTGCCCTAGTGAGTTGTTTATCCATTTTTATTAATGACTTTTAAAATGTTATGACAAACATTTATATTCTATATGAACCTGTGTGAACAGAATTGTTATGTTATATTTTCCTTTATCCATGGGATAAAAGGTAGTCTAGTCCACTAGTGGAACTGGTTTATCTGAGTCGTCCTGCATATTGAGTTCATTACTCCAACAAATATGAACATGAGTGCCAAGAAAGTAAAGAGGAAACATTCTTTCCACTCTTCTCACAGCCTGGGATTTAAATTGTGTCCACATGAAGGGGCTGGAATTGTTCTGCACATCAGATAATGATTAAAGTAAGGGAAACTAGAAGCCTGACTGTATTGTAAAGTCAGCATGTCTACAGCGTTGTGGTTGGGTTCAACATGTGTGAATTGATTTTGGATCTTGAGATTCTCTTTTCACGCCAAATGGATGATTATCATGCATGGTTTATCACAGCCCAAGCAAAAAGGACATAATGGCGACACAATGAATTATCCTTGAGGATGAACGCAATCACTTGGCAAAATGTGGGAGGGGAAGATTTTAGTGCCTGAATATTGTGTTTGCTTAGTTAAGTTTAATAAGATTTTTAAACATCTCAACTCAGTTGAAATGCAAATGATATCTTTAATTGGTTAAAAAGGGAAAAAAAGGCATAGCATAGTTATGAAGATTCTTCTGATATCCTAACTTATTTGTGGGTGTAACTACATTTTTTTTTTTTTATATTTGGAAAAAAAGTAGCATATAAGGTGAAGGTAACATACATATTTTGGTTATGTGTAGAAAAGCTTTCTAAGCAATTTCTAATTAAAAAATCTTAATGTATGCAATATTCATTTTTGTTTTCTAGAAGAATAGAATTTCTATGTTCTCCTTTTATTTTTTTTCCTTTTAAAAATTTTCTTTTTCTGCAATCCATTAAAAAATCTTGAGGGAACTTATTTTATAAATATAAAATACTCATTTTGCAGCTTCACAATTATCTTTTCTTGAGTTCTGTTCTTTGAAACTTTATAGATGAAACACCTTATAAAGAGAGCCATTTGGCATTTAGTAAGTAAACTTTCCTTGTGTGTTCAAGATGGAATCATAATTTTACGAATTTTACAGCATAGTGTTCCTAGATCATATAACAATGGATAATTTAGTCAGTAATCTCAATATAATTTTAAAGGACCTTTTTCATACTTCTAATAGTGCAGCTTTGAAAATATGTCCACTTTTCTTTTGCCTGTGACTTTGTTATATTTAAACACCCACAAATACCCACTGTGCCAAATACTATATAAACTTATAAATGAGAAAACAAATGAGCCCATCTTCCATATCTTTCATATCACTGTCTGCTTCGCCTAAGGGGCTTGGGATAGATTTTCTGTAAGTGGTAAGTAAACTGGAATCTCTGGAGAAGGAAGAGCTGAGTAATTGTGTACATGTAAAGTACAGTTATTGGTATGACTTTTTCTTCAATGGAGTTGAATAGCACTCTTTTCTCTACTTTGGTTTTTTGACTGAAATAACATGTTTTGACACACATAAATATGAAATTACAGAGTCACCACACTGACTTCCAGTTAGAAGGACTTAGAAACAACTAGTCCAAATACGTTATGTTCCAGCTGAGAAAGGTAAGGTCTGAACAAGCACTTATCCAGATCACATCCCAGTAGTAGCAGAGCTGGGCTCAGAACTCTGGTTTTCTGGCTTCTAGTCTTTAGATTTGGTTTTGAATACCAAGTGTAAGCAATTCCCAGTTTCTATCTGATGCTTAGTTTTGAATGTAAAAAAAATAGTTATCACAATGACAGTATTCTGAAACTTGAATATTTTAACTCCTTTCCAGGTTTTTGAAATAAATTCTTCACCATGTACTTGAGGTGTTTTATTTCTCAGAGTGTTTATATACTGGAATTAATTTCTCGTTTTATTTTTCCCCACAGGAAAAGCTAACCTTCCTTCATACCTTGTATCAGCACTTGATAGCAGGCTGTGTGCTCATAAAACAACCAGAAGGCATGCTGGATAAATTCTCCTGGTCTGAGCTTTGTGCAGTCTTGCAGGAGAATGTTGATGCCCTGATCGCAGACCTCAGCAGGGCTAACGAGAAGGTAACTGTCCTCAGGCACCAGATACCTCTATTAAATTCAGTGACATTTGTCCACATCACAGTATCATTAAAAGGGGCTGACATTCATCTTATTTCAAAAAGAATTTGGATGTTAATAATTCAATACCATTAATTATGGCTTGTCTACAACTCAGTTTGATGCCATTGCTGTGGGCATGTAAATGTGACTGAAGTCTGTATGAAGTCTCTAAGCTCCACTTTCTGTGCAGGACATGCTAATACTACTAGCCAGTATTAGCCACAGGGACCTAATTAAAAGAAAATAAATTAATCTTACTGATGAAGCAATTCAAAGAACTTAGTCATTTACATTAATAAACCAACTCTTTATGTTAGCATAAAATAGAAACAAGATAGTTATTCAAAAACATGATCTTAAAATTCTTTGCTTAGGAAATAATGAGGTGTTAGTTTAAAAGCATTTAAAATTTTAAAATTATGTCTATAACTTATTTTTTTGAGATTTAACAAACTGTATTACAAATCCCATTTAGTGTTTTAGAAGGTAAGAAGTACATGCTGTAGAAGAAAACAGTAGACTTTTATGGTCGCTTTACTATTCACAAGCCTAAGAATTCAATCTTTTAAAAAAATATAAAACTCTTTTGGTCTTAGGATATTAAATGGCTTAGCAGACCAACATATGCCACCATTAAAAACGATGATTCTTATCCTGGATCTATTGATCTGGTCAGAACTATATTTAGTTTCCAGGTTGTAGGGACAAGAAAAGAAAAACTGTTTCCTAAGTGGTGTTTTTTCCTTATTTCTAATGTGGTGGAATAATGAAAAAACATTGTGGCCTAATTTTAGGGTGATATTTCTTATTGTTGAGCACTTTTCCTTGATCCTATTGTCAAATATTTCCATACATATTTAGAAATAGGTTTGAGGAAATGAGGACATAAACTAGAATCATAGATGCAGTTTGTGTTTGTAAATGTGTGTATAATGGGTTTGAAAATTACTTGTAATTTAAATAATTATGTTTTAACTCTCTGTAATGGTGTTGTGTTTAAAAAAATTTTTAAACAGTATAGGAACATTGTCATACATGTTAGATGGTGAGAATTTTCTTAAATTTGGATGTGTTTTGGGGGAGGTGATAAAATGGTTTGCGAGCATATGTCCTTGCTTTGCCCCATTTAGATAAGTCATCTAGAGTATATCTGTAAAAACAAGTCTGATACAATGAGAGAGCTTCAGCAGACCCAGGAAGACACCTTTAACAAAGTGGCAGAGCAGATCAAAGCCCAAGAGAGCTGCTGGCACAAACAAAAGAAGGAACTGGAGCTGCAGTACTCTGAACTTCTCCTTGAGGTGCAGAAAAGGGCACAGGTATGCTGTTTCTATAAAGAGCTTTAAAAAACAATGCTTGATCTTTATGTGATATTTTCTTTTAGTACCCATACCAAATTAGTTTGAAACTTCTTGAGAAGCACGTAGAACTCTTTAGGCACACATTTATATGATCACACAAACACACTCATCCACATAAATGGATATATGTGTATGTGTGTATGTTAAGAGTTGTCTTTGGCTAAGTTCCAAAGTAGATGAATTTCTGGTTAAAATATCCCAGAATTCATTAGTCAATTACATACTAAACTAGCATTTCCTTATTTATTTTTCAAATAACAGATTAAGAGATGTAGAAAATATCACCAGTTTTAGTGCAGGTATCCTTTTATCCAGTGTATTCAATTTGTGGGGCTTTTTGTGTGAATCATTAATTCATTTCAGGTTGGAATTTACTGTACCTCCTAACATTGTATGAGATCCAGAGTTATTGATGTAAACTATGTAGTAAAATAATTGACTCTGACACATATTATGTCTTTTATGTTGTTTTTGATTGAGAACAGAAGTTACAGAGTTAGCATAATCATATTTTTCCTGTACAAATTATTGTCAACGTAATTTATATTGTTAACTGTCATCTCTCTCCAATAAGGGATGACATAATGATAGTGTGTACTTTTTTATATTGAATTTAATAATGGGACACTCATTCTGAAGATAGGATAATTAGGAACCAGAAGGTTCTATATTCTTCCCATGTTCCAATCAACATCTAACCTCTTTATTTGTCCATTCATGCTCATATAGGCAGGAAACCATATATATTTTTGTTTGCTAATAAAGTTTCAGATTGCCTAAAATAAGACCGCTTTATTTTCCCCATTGTAAGGGTCCTTAATGAACTGATGCCTTTCTCTATGAATTTGGATGATTTTAACATACTCTGTAAAGTAGTTATTGGTTTACTGTAGGCAGGGTTCTATGTGATATGCTCTATATTTTCTACTACTGAAGCATGAGACCTAAACAACATTTTTAGAGGTAATGTTGTGCAATGTACACTATCATATGTGTACAGTTTGATGTTCTTTTTTTTTTTTTAAATAATAAATTTTATTTTTATATTCCCCCATACAATTGCAAACGCCCCATTCTGACCCCAATCCTTCCCTCCGCCCCCCCCACCCCCAAAAAGTGTCTCTGGTTCATAGTTTTTTGTTGATTTTGATTTTCACTTTCTTATATTCATTTTCCTGGTCCCTTATTTAAGTTTTCTAGATTCCTGCTATGAGTGAGACCATCCGGTATTTTTCTTTTTCTTTTTGGCTTATTTCACTGAGCATGATCCCTTCCAGCGCCATCCATGTTGCTGCAAATTGCATGTGTTTATCTTTTTTGAATGCTGAGTAATATTCCATGGTATATATGTACCACATCTTCTTGATCCAGTCATCTATTTTTGGGCATTTGGGTTGTTTCCAAAGCTTAGCTATTGTAAACAGTGCTGCTATAAACATAGGGGTGCAGGTGCTCTTTGGAATTGATGTTTCTGTGTCCTTTGGGTAAATACCTAGGAGTGGAATTGCTGGATCATATGGAAGCTCTATGTTTAGTAGGCCCAGAAATCTCCACACAGCTCTCCATAGTGGTTGGACCAGTTTGCACTCCCACCAACAGTGCAGAAGAGTTCCTTTTTCTCCACACCCTCGCCAACATTTGTTGTTGCTAGTTTTTTTAATATGTGCCATTCTCACTGGTGTGAGATGGTATCTCATGGTAGTTTTGATTTGCATTTCCCTGATTACAAGTGATGTTGAACATTTTTTCATATGTCTGTTGGCCATTTGCATTTCCTCTTCAGAGAAGTTTCTTTTTAGCTCTTCTGCCCATTTTTTGACTGGATTATTTTCTTTGTTGTTGCTGAGTCTCATCAGCTCTTTGCAGATTTTGTGATCAGTCCTTTATCATTAGTGTTGGGTGCAAAAATGTTCTCCCAGTTGGTGGGGTTTCTCTTTGTTTTTGTTATTGTCTCTTTTGCTGTGCAGAAGCTCTTTAATTTGATGTAGTCCCAGCTGTTTATCTTTGCCTTCACTATCACTGCTTTGGGTGATGTGTCTGTAAAGATGTCTTTGATGTGCAAATCCCGTAGTGTTTCGCCTATATTTCCTTCTATGTATTTTATGGTTTCAGGTCTTATGTCTAGTTCTTTAATCCATTTTGAGTTGATTTTTGTGTATGGTGTGAGGTAGTGGTCAAGCTTCATTCTTTTGCATGTAGCGACCCAGTTTTCCCAGCACCATTTATTGAACAAACTTTCTTTGCTCCAATGCATAGTCTTTGCTCCTTTGTCAAAGATTAGTTGACCATAAATCTGTGGGTTTATTTCTGGATTTTCTATTCGATTCCATTGGTCTGTATGTCTGTTCTTGTGCCAATACCATGCAGTTTTTTTTTTTTTTAAAAGATTTATTTATTTATTTATGCAAGCACTGGATAGTCAGAAGCAGAGCAGGCAGAAGGACCGAAGTACACAGCTGAGGGGAGCAGCGGGCGGCAGGAGAGGTCTGCGCCCCATGTGGGACCCTCCTCCAGTGGCTGGGGAGCAGCCGGGGATCGAACCGGCACTGCAGAGGCTGCGGGCAGCTTCGCAACCCAGCGCTCAAACCGCTGCGCCACCGGGGAGGCCCAATACCATGCAGTTTTGATGATTATGGCTTTGTAGTAGAGTTTGAAGTCTGGGAGTGTGATGCCTCCATTTTCTTCTTTTTTTTTCAGTAGAGCTTTGGCTATTCGGGGTTTTTGGTGATTCCATATGAATTTCATCAATAATTGTTCTATTTCTTTGAAGAATGCCATTGAGATTTTGATTGGAATAGCATTGAATCTGTATATTGCTTTTGGTAGGATGGCCATTTTAATAATGTTTATTCTTCCAATCCATGAGCAGGGGATGTCTTTCCATTTCTTTGTGTCTTCTTCTATTTCTTTTAACAGTGTTTTATAGTTTTCTTTGTATAGGTCCTTTACCTCTTTTGTTAGATTTATTCCCAAATATTTGATTTTTTTTGTTTCAATAATAAAAGGGATGGTTTTTTTGATTTCTTCTTCTTCAGATTTATTGTTTGTGTATAGGAAGGCTACTGACTTTTGCGTGTTGATTTTGTATCCTGCCACTTTACTGAATTGATTGATGAGTTGAATTAGTTTTTCTGTGGAGATTTTGGGGTTCTCTATGTATATTATCATATCATCTGCAAATAGTGATAGTTTGACTTCTTCTTTTCCTATTTGGATTCCTTGGATGTCTTTCTCTTGTCTTATTGCTCTGGCTAGGACTTCCAGTATTATATTGAAAAGCAGTGGTGAGAGTGGACATCCTTGTCTTGTTCCAGATCTTAATGGAATTGCTTTCAGCTTTTCACCATTGAGAATGATACTGGCTGTTGGCTTGTCATAGATGGCCTTTATGATGTTGAGGTATGTTCCTTGTATCCCAAGAATTTCAAGGGCTTTTATCATGAATGGGTGTTGCACTTTGTCGAAAGCTTTCTCAGCATCTATTGATATTATCATATGGTTTTTATATTTCTTTTTGTTGATGTGTTGGATAACGTTGATTGATTTTCGGATGTTAAACCATCCTTGTGCCCCTGGAATGAATCCAACTTGGTCGTGGTGAATTATCTTATGGATACATTGTTGGATTCTGATAGCTAAAATTTTATTGAGGATTTTTGCATCAGTGTTCATTAGGGAGATTGGCCTATAGTTTTCCTTTTTTGTGTTGTCCTTATTCGGTTTTGGTATTAGTGTAATATTGGCTTCATAGAACGTGTTTGGTATTGTCCCTTCCTTCTCAATTTCTTGGAAGAGTTTGTGAAGGATAGGCACTAATTCATCTCTGAATGTTTGGTAGAATTCATTTGTAAATCCATCAGGTCCTGGGCTTTTGTTTTTGGGGAGGTTTTTGATTACCATTTCAATTTCGCTGCTTGTAATTGGTCTGTTTAGGTGTTCTATTTCTTCTTTATCTAGCTTTGGGTGATTGTAGAGTTGTAGGAATTTGTCCATCTCCTCTAGATTGTTGAACTTGTTTCCATATAACTGTTCATAGTAGTTACTGATTATTCTTTTGATTTCTGCTGTGTCCGTTGTGATTTCTCCTCTTTCATTTATGATCCTGTGTATTTGTGCTTTCTCCCTTTTTTCCTTTGTGAGCCTGGCTAGGGGTTTGTCTATTTTATTTATTTTTTCAAAGAACCAGCTCTTGGTTTCATTGATCTTTTGGATTGTTTTTTTAGTTTCAATTTCATTTATTTCTGCTTTGGTTTTTATTATTTCTTTTCTTCTACTGGTTTTGGGGTTTTTTTGTTGTTCTTTTTCTAGATCTTTGAGCTTCGAGATTAGGTTGTTTCTTTGAGTTCTTTCTTGTTTTTGGATGTGAGCTTCTATTGCTATATATTTTCTCTTATTACTGCTTTTTGCTGCATCCCATACATTTAGGATATTGGTGTCCTCCTTGTCATTCAATTCAAAGAATTTTTTAATTTCTTCTTTGATCTCCTCGTTAGTCCAGTGGTCTTCCAGTAGTGTGGTTTTTAATCTCCATGAGGTAGGATAGTTCCTTGCCTTCTTTTTATGATTTATTTCTAGTTTGATGCCTTCGTGGTCAGAAAAGATGGTTGGTATGATTTCAATCTTGGTGTATCTGTTGATGTTTGTCTTGTGCCCCAGTATGTGATCAATCCTGGAGAATGATCCGTGTGCGCTTGAGAAAAATGTGTACTCCGTTTTTTTTGGGTTTAGTGTTCTATAGATGTCTGTTAAGCCCAAATGCTCTAGGTCCTTATTTAGAGCTTTAGTTTCTTTACTTATTTTTTGTCTTGTTGATCTATCCATTGTTGATAGTGGTGTGTTGAAGTCTCCCACTACGTATGTGTTTTCTCTGATGTCTGTTTTCAGAGAGGACAACAGTTGTCTGATATATTTTGGTGCTCTTTCGTTTGGTGAGTATATGTTAATGAGTGTCATTTCTT